AGGCTGCTGGGCGCCGAGTCGCCAGGCGCTGCGTCCTGTGTCTTCCCTCGGGGTCTGGTCCTTCCAGGGAGCCAGCGCCCCGCAGAGGGGCTGTCATTTAGCTTTTTGCTTTTTAGTGTGTGTTCTTGTTGCTTTCAGAGAGGCAGGGAGAGGGAGAGAGACACATCCATGATGAGAGAGATCACTGATCGGCTGCCGCCTGCACGCCCCACACTGGGGATCGTGCCCGCCACCCGGGCCTGTGCCCCGACGGGAACGGAACTGTGGCCTGGCTCCTGGGCTGATGCTCACCCGCTGAGCACACGGCCGGGCCTGGTTCGCTTTTCAACCAGACACGGGGCAGCTCTGCAGCAGGACGGGGAGACCAGTTCCCCGAGGGGCGGGTGGGCTTAGCAGGCACCACCCCGTGCCCCCCAGAGTGGCAGGATTTGACCGACTCCTGCGGGTTGGACCCCGTTACAGAGGGTTGTGTCGCCCCAGGCGGGGGCTCAGCTGGTTGGAGCATCGTCTCACACACCCAAAGGTGGTGGCTCGCTTCCCGGTCCGGGCGCGTGCGGGAGGCAGCCGGTCTGCGCTCCTCTCTCTGGCTATCCTGGGGACTGCCATTTAACTTACAATGGTAAATTTATTGACTGACTTGAGAGAGAGCGAAACATGGACTTGCTGTCCCACTTACGCATTGGTTGATTCCTGTGCGTGCCCTGCCCTGCGATCGAACCGGGAACCTTGACGTACCAGGACGACCCTGTGGTCAGCAGAGCTACCGGCCGGGCCCTGGGCTGTCATCTAAGAGAGAGCCGGTGGAGAGCCGGGGGGTGGGGGGGAATCAGGGTGCCCTGCAAAGAGCCGGCTGCTCCGGAAGAAAGAAAGCCCAGCTCCAGCTGCCCCCGCCCGACCCTGGCAGGAGAGGCCACTGCACACCCCCAGGGGCCCTTCAGAACCCAGACCCGAACCCCCCTCCCCCGTGCTGGTGCCTGGAGCAGCTTCAGGCTCCCACAAGGGGCCTCGCCTGTGCGGACGAGTCTGTGGCCCTTCTCCCTGCCACCGTCCCCTGCAGAGCGGGGGCTGCCCCTCCAGCCTGGCCGGCGGTCACAGTGCGGGTCCTCCCTGCAGAGGTGAGGCAGTCCCCCCTCTACACGGTCACCCCAGAGGGGGGCTCCATCAACATCACCTGCTCCGTCCACGTGAACGGGACCCTGCTGGGGGTCCACCTGAGGCAGAGCCACCTGCTGGAGATGCAGAAGGTGACGTACTACGACGACGAGAACACCCCCACTGTGGATGAGCGGTTCCAGGGCCGCGTCCTCTTCTCGGGGACCATGGACAACCTGACCATCACCATGCAGCGCCTGCGGCCAGAGGACAGTGGCACCTACTTCTGCGAGGCCATCGCGAAGGACGGGCAGGGCTGGGGCGCCGGCACCATGCTGGTGGTGACAGGTAGGCAGCACGCCCGCCCTCGGGGCCGCTTCCCTCCACTCGGAGTTGTTTCCTCCAGCTTCAGTCCGCCTCCTCCAGGGAGCCTCCTGGATTTCGCCCCTACTGGGGAGCCCCCCCCCCGACCTGCACCCGCATCCTGAAGGCTCTCATGGACTCTCCCCACTTCTTCCCAGACACACTGTCCCCAGCGGCCAGCGCCTGCCCCGGGACTCAGCTGACCAGCTTCACCTTCCCCGTGGTCCTGGCCCTGGGCTGCCTCCTGATCGTGCTGGGCCTGGCCGCCATGTGTGTGCTGAAGAGGAGACAGGTCAGTGTGACCCCTCACGGTCACTGTCCCCGCAAGCCGGCTGCCCCGGGAGCAGGGAAGGGAGAAAAGGGGCTACGTGTCACCTCCCTCGGGGCCCCTGGGGGCTCCCAGGACCACGGTGGGAGAGGAACCCCAGGACTGGAGCCACCAGGAGCCCTAAGGACTCGGGGACCAGGATGCTCAGGGGCTGGGCCTGTCCTGGTCGGCGTCTAAGGGGTGAAGCCCAGGTGTGACCGAGCGTGTGTGCGTGTGCAGAGCGTGACATCGGTGTGTGAGCCTGTGTGGACCTGTCCGAGGTGGGAGTGGACGGGGAGGTGGGCACCTGGGCCCCGGTGCCAGCACAGGCCCCTTTCTCCCTGACACGGTCCCTTGGGGCAGGGTCACGGCCATCCTCGCCCCCGCCCGCCCCACTGCCTGCAGAAACAGGCTTTCCCTTGCAGATCAGGAACATATGCCCCGCGCGGGACAGGAGCACGGCCGGTGTGATCTATGAAGACATGTCCTGCAGCCGCCGGGACACCATCTCCATCGCCAACCACTACCAGTGAGCCAGGCCCCCGGGCCTCTGCCCCGCGCTGCTCCTGGCACCTCCTCCAGGAAGCTCTCCGTGCCTGCCTCGCACCCTCAGGGCTGCCCTGCTCACCCCGTGGACTGCCCCCGGCCCCTGGGAGCCGCCAGAGACCAAGCCGCCCTTCCCCTCACAGGGACCAGCTGGGCTCAGGCAGCGGGCACACCTGGCCTGCCCCAGGCTTGCCAGAAACAAAGGGCTTCTCTCCTCTCCTGGACTCCAGGGTCCCCTCTCAACCAGACCTGGCTCCTCGAGACCAGGGAGCCGCCCCACAAACAGCGAGGAGGCGGAGTCCGCCGGGCACAGGGGGCTCGGTCCGAGCAGCCAGGGCCGGGGCTGGGCTCCTGCAGCGGGAAGGGCTGGCGAAGGAAACCGAGTGAAATCACAGGTGCAAAGTCAGGCACAGTAGCAAGCTGGGCCCCTGCAGGAGGCAACCCATCGATGTCTCTCTCCCCTCCTCCCTTCCATTCTCTCTAAAAATCAATGGGAAAATGTCCTCTGGTGAGGATTGGCCAAGAAATAAAATAAAAGCATCACACACGCAGAGTCCTGGAAATGGCATTTTTAAATTAATGACACACTCATCTGTTCTCTGCTACAAACTCACTGCCTTCCTCTGGTTGCACAGAGCCCTCCCCCCCCCCAACAAGTTCACGCTGTGCACCCCTCAGGCCTCCTCCTGGGCCACGCCGGTCACCAGGAGGGGACACAGGCACCCTCGGTCCACCCTCCGCCCGGCACCACGGAGCTGGCCCATGGGCTCGGGGTGGGGGTGGGAGGCCAGGAGCCCTGTGACCCCACGAGGGCAGCTGTCCTGCGGCTGAGGACGAGGGTGGCCGCGGGCAGTGAGCCCCCCCAGACGGGTTCGGGGAGAGAGGGCGGCCGGGGGCCCAGGAGAACCATTGGTTCTGGACGCCCT